TGCTGCCGCTGGTGCTGGTGCTGGTGCTGGTGCTGCTGGTGGTGGTGTTAGTGCAAGAATGTCGTGCCCTTTTCAGCTGCCTAGGGCAGTGTTCAAGGTTGTGTGAGGGTGTGCAAGGCACCACATTTGTTTCCGTTGTTGTTGTTCCCGAATCCAGTCCTGCAATAGAAACAGCCTATGCCCGAACAACAACCGTCCTCTATAGGTTGAATATCGCATGTTTGCAGCAGCATTCGTTCTCGAGTGGAGGGCTTGCAAATTGAGAGATTGTGCAGTGCCTTTAAATCGCCTCAGGTAATTGCCAACATTTCGGCGCTTGCTCCAGATCCCTGGCCTGTGCACTCTATCAGAGGTAAGTACGTATGCGTGGATGCAGGGATGCACTTTTCAAAAACTGTGCCTCGTTTCAGCTTTTTGAGGTTTGAGAGTGTAAGGTGGAGTGTAGCATGCTCAGAGTCTGGAGTTAGAGGATTTTGGTACATAGTTTGATTTTGCAGGATCGTTTGTACTGAAGCAGATATATTGGATGCTGAGTGCCGAGGCCTGAAATTCCGGACTCCATTTTCCAGAGTCTTTGATGCTACGGATCCAGGGTAGATGGAGGAAATCTGTACCAAGGCAGGCCCACATGAACTGTATTTCCGAGGGTATATGTTACATATGGCGATGCAAAATTCCCCAGTCCGTTCCTGTCACCTAAGCCCACATTCAGGGTATGTCCAAACCCTGACACTGTCAATGAAAACCACAGCGAGAACTGTTACGTGTCTTGAATGGCCCTTTTGTAGGCTTGTCCACATTGTGGAACACCGATGGAGCAAGTCGGCCATAACGGACTACTACATTGAGCATCTGACTGACACGGATCTGATCCACTGCCCGGGCTGCTTTCAGGGACTTGAATGTAGCTCACGGGATGTAGCTTTCCGAGTAGCGGGTGTACGAATCAATTGGATGACCAGCAGTTTAAAGCCATAACTCCTGCTTGGATGAGTGGGGGGGAAGTTCCCAGCGAAATTCCAGAATGATCCGTAGCGGGCACCCCTCAAATCAGGAGATATCCGTTGTCGTCACCGGCTACGCTACCCCCAGTGGACCCCTGGTCTGGGCCCCCGGCTGTGAGGAGCCGGGGAGTCTGCATCCTCTGAACGAGGTGGTGCCCCTCGGCCTGAGGTAGGATTTTTCATTATGGCTTTGGTGAGTACATATGTGGCTCCTTAGGAATACTGGGGGGTGTCTAGGGGTGCCCACTTGGAAAGACCACAGGGAAGAGCACGTGGGCAGTTGTCAAAGTGGCCATA